AACTGTGTTAACTGTGTTACTGAAACATAGTAAACTGAAGAAAAACAATCGAAAGTACCATTTTAAACATAACGCACAGAGTAGTATCACAAACATAGATTTATATGATAAAGCTATCTGCCAGTTCACAAACTTATACAAAACTGAAGATAAAATCCAAAATATCGTTTCAAACAAAATGCACAGATTAGTTACATTATAAATACAGATAATCTGATTAAGTTAGCTGCCACTCCACAGACTGTACAGATGCCGTAGAGTTAGAAAGAATGACACAACTTTTAATATACAATATCCAACAAGAGAAAAACACACACTTCCGCATTTATAACAGTAGTCTAGACTTATACTTCAGTTGATATTGTAATTCCTTGCCTAAATAAGCAACGGCTATCTCCTAAGTAATTATTTACAGAGTAAATCGGTTTTACGTAAGAAGTATTTGACGACTCTGTAGTTTAGCAATTTAGCACACCTAAAAGTTGTTTTGATGAGTGTAAATCACATTTACAATCACAAAAACAGCCTGTACTTTGCCACCAAGTCCCCAAAGGCGGTACAGGCGTTCTATTTTCGATGTGGCTAAGGCTTTCGATAAAGTCTGGCACAACGGCTTGATTTACAAGCTCCATCAGTTAGGTGTCCCCGACAGGCTAGTACTCATTGTATCTATCTGCACTCGCCCCCTAACGTCCGGTGAAGCTGTAAAGGCCAGCTGAGGCCAACAGCATAAGAGTAGTCCGAAAAAAAAAGAGTATAAATCTTTGCATTGGTCTGGGTATTTTCTATGTGTATTAAGTATGTATTTACTAAAATGTTTTAAGTATTTATATATAAGTTGTGTAGTACCTAAGACACATTGTTTAGTTTGGGAATAGATTGCGTTTTAGAATTGCCCAGGGTTATTATTATTTCAAATGGAAAGTATTAAATTTACGGCAAGTCATATTTTAATTCTATATATACCTTTCTGTAATAATTCGTGTTCATTCTCTATTAAATTTGACCTATTAAAATTTAAACGATATTTATGAATAGCACTGCAATATGATATTATAAATGATTTATAGGTAGATCGAATACACGTGTACTAATAAAGATAAGGTACTTCAAGGAAAATCATTGGCGATTTAGTTAATTAAAGTTGCGAAATTGTATACAATTTCTTTGCTTTATGCCAAGGCTTATCATACCTACTTATATTATAAATGTATTTTTATATATATTTTTTAATTTTTACATTTATCAATATTAAAATATATTTAAAATGAGAAATGGCGTATATACGAGAATGATTACTCATTTTAAATTCCTTTGGAAGAGTAAGTTAATTAAGGTTAGGGAATCGTATACTATATTTTATTTACTTTTTGCAAAGGCCTGACAAATTATTTTTATATTTTTTAAACTTATAAATACGACAAAATACATATAAATGAGACATTACGTATATACCTTTGGAATTGAAGTAACTTAATTAATTTTTGGTTTGCATTACAAACTACATTTGCTGGTGGTCATTCTCTCTAATCGAGTTTAAAAATGAATGACTTTTATGATGATGTGCAAGCTCATTTGAAAAGAATAAGAGCTGAATTTCATGTCAGTTCTTCTTAGCTCGAAAGCATACCGAACTGACAGTAGTTTTGACATACTTTGACGGTCTTATTACAAAAAATCTGTTAAAACTCGGACGAAACGTGGTCTAAATGGTCGTGGTTTAAACCATTCCTAAAGTTAATACTTGGAATAAACCTAACATTATTACGAATCCAGATCTAACAGAGGACTACTTAGTACAGTTAAATCGTTCATTATGTATTACATACAGAAATCAGTCACTCATGTCTGTCACCGTACAATTACGTTCCATTTTACCAGAAAACTGAAAAGATCAAAAATAATATTAGTTCAAAGAAAAATGTATAAACTAAAAATAAATTTATTTCTATTTATCTATATCTTCATTATAACTATTTCATTAATATATAATATTTATTAATATACTATTAGGCTGAAAATCAGTTTTAAATTACAAGTAGGAGTCCTATACGGAGAAAAGGAACGGCGAGATATTTTTATTGGATCGTTCGAATGATGACTATTTCAAAGTCAAATGAGTGAAAAAATAACAATTAACGTCTTTTATACGTTTTTATTGTCGTAAAATTTGCTTTAAATATTTTTAGTTAATATATTTTTAATTTAGTTAAAATATTTTTCCAAAAACTACAACTAACAATAGAATTTTTAAAATGGAGTTTGTATTTTTGCATTTAGACCACTGTTAAACTAGGGGCATCGCAGGTCTAACTTTAGACCATAGACGAATCACGATTTAGAGATAAACTTCATTTTGTAATAAGGAATACATTGGTGAATGGTTTATTACTAGTGCTAAACCAGATTTATCTTTTTGTAATAAGGCCGTAAGAGTTTGTACTAGACTTATATGAACTTTTAGAAAGATTAGAAAAGAGTAGGTGGTGCATGTAATAGACATAAATATGTATGTGTAGAGGTTTGATATCATAGTCTTTTGGAATGGCAATCTGGTGTTGTTCATGTATATAGGTGTGGGATGGCACTTGCCGTCAGGCGGGCTTGCATTTAAAAAAATCGGTTTCTTGTTTCGTCCTTTTGTATTCTTTTCTTGCTTGTCTCTCCTTTTTCTTCTATTTTGTTTGACAAATAATCTCTTAAATATTGGGTTACACATAATTACCACTTAATCGAATAAATGAATAATTTATTAGGTTTAAAGAATTTTAAATTAACAATCAAATTATAATCTAAATATAACTTCTAAAATTTCTCATTTGAGACCGACGCTATTACAACACTGGGTCAGCTGTTTTAGACATTATGAATTTGATAAAATGCTTTGATTTATTAACCAACTGTGAAAATAAGGAGGTTCTGCATTCGACAATTTGTTTTATGTTATCTGTGGCGATTATAGACAGTTGGACTTACCCGCATGTAGCCTTTCATTTGGGCCATTGTTCGTGACCGATTATAGTTATATTTTACTAGTTTATACCCGTGACATCGTCTACATTTTTTGAGATAATGAAAAGATAAAAGATAAGTCTTTTCATGTGATATAATTTATTTTCACATTAAATTTCACTAAAATTAATTTTACCGTTGAATTGTATAAAGGTGAAAATACACACAGACATTTTATGTATATATTTTAATATTATATTAATATTAATCTATGAATTATGGATATATTGAATATAATTACGTACACAATCATCTTCACGTAGATTGTGGTGTTAAGAATACATATACTATATTAATATTGTAAAGAGAAAAGATTTCATTGTTGGTTTGTTCATGCTCGGAAACAATTGGACGATTTGAAAAAAATTTATGCCATTAGAATCCTTTATTCGTCTACATGGGGAAATCCGTCATGGAAATCCACTTGCCCCGGGGGAGACCAACGGATACTAGCGGGCTACTACCGGCCCAAACCCCATAGTGTCCTCAGCTCGCTACTAGCATCAGATGCACGGGATCAAAGTTCATTCACCGTAGCCCTAGCAGCGCAGGCTCTACAGCCTCCTCCTCTAGACCTCACTCTTCTTAAGTGACAACAGATGTGTCTCGCGTCTAACACCGCGAGGCCCATGCTTGAATTAATTATTAATATTCATTTAATGTTAGACATAGACACCTATATAAATACCTATGCATTGTAAATAAACTGGATTTAAAAAAAAAAGTAATTCAATTGAGTTTCTTGCCAGTTCTTCTCAATTGGATCTATATCCGGGTCAATGGGCTCCCTAAAATATGGTCGAGCGCAGTGATGGCTGGCTCATCCGTCATACTCGTGAACGAGTGCTGCTTGTAGGGACTGGTCTGCTCTTATCACTACGACCGATTTAATCTTATTGCATGATTATATGTGACCCAAAAAATTAGTGCTTGTTGGTAGTTTGTATTCACACGTTTCGACTTGTAAATGTAAACTTACAAGGATTATTTAAAAGAGCAACACACAAGTTTCTTGCTCGTTCTTCTTGTGATGAGACAGCTTTCCGAACGAGTGGTAGATAAAAAACAAATTGTTATGACTATTCCAAAGAGCTTAAATTAAGTTTATTTGAATAAATGATTTTCTATTCTATTCTATTCTATATACCGAACTGGACGGTAGGGAAAAAAATATAATGTAAAAACTCGACGTTCATAAGCGGCTAAAATGTCCTACATGAATAAATGATTTTTGAATTTCAATTTGAAATTGAAGTCGACGGATGCTAAGACTCAGCATCCATCGCCTCTACTCTTTGCGTTCGCTTATGCCATTAGAATCCTACTTTAACCCTGACGAACATAGGCGATAAAATACTTTTAAAAACACTAAATAATTAAAACTTCGATAATGTAACCTAACAAATCAAAAAACCCACCAAATCCTTCTTTCCTCCATCCTTTTTTTCTTACATTGCTTTTTAATCCTTCCTTTGTCACGGGGTATAGATAAAAGAAATTGGCATGCTACAGTTTTGTAGAAGAGATCAATATCGACGTGTGTATAAATGTGTATGTCAAAATTTATAATTTTTGGATTTTTTGTTAAATACTCGTGGTCGTAGATATATATTATAATTAAAACAGAAACATATAACGTTAATTTATTCTCTAATCGTACAAGTTCGTCTGGAAGGGATTATAGCTATATAACGACAGCTATTTAGCGATGAGTCCGCCTAACGTTACCTCTTTGTCTCTCTCGTTGTAATTATATATTTTATCTTTTTTACACAATAGATTATGTAACTCTATTTTCTGTGAGAGAAATAATGAGACCCTTGTCTTAATTCCATTTAATTTTGTCTGTAACCGACCTACATTTGGATTTTAGTAATACTACATTAAATATCTCGCGCCTGGTAATATATACTAATTTACATTAAATTTATTTTCCTTACAGAATACTACGATCTACATATTAACATCAACAATGAATTGAAACGAAAATGGCGCGTCGAATACCAATATATCTTCTAATATTGTTTCTAAACGGCATCGGCGCAAAACCTGCAAAAAACAACACCATTGATCATGCAAAAGTTGAAATCACTACAACGAATGATCTAGAAACAGATGCGAACTGTACAAATGCGATTAACGATAATATAAATGAAGAATATATTTTTAATGGAACAGAAATGGATATATTGAAATCTATAAAGAACACGGTTGACGATAATGGAACAGTACATCGTAGGAAGTGCGAGATTGTAAACATAACGAACACAGACGATATACGATATGCTAATACGAATATGCTAGACTCGGTTTACTTGAACAATATTTACTCGAGGGTGACTACGAATTTGATAGAGGAGAAAGTGTCGATTGATAAGATTGAAGCGAACGGTGTGAGTTTGTACGATTTGGTGAACAGTGACTGTGGTGGTGCGAAATTGTGTCCGAGTTTCAATGTCAACTGGACTGAGAAGACCATTACTATTGGATTTCTTGGAGCTTACGGATGGAGTCAGGTGAGTTGCATTTTAATTTTATTACTGAAAAGAAAGAATAAAATGACACTAATCTTAAATATAACAGAAAATTCTTTATTCAAATATAGTATACTCAATTTTAAGCAGTTTTTAATAGTCATATTTATTTTATGAATCTACCGCTTATTCGGAATTCTGTCACATCTCATGAAAAAACGAAAAAAACTGCTCTTTTAAATAATTATTGCAACTTTACATACAAATGGAACGTGTGAGTATAAACGACCAATTAGTAGAAATTCATTAGAGTTAAAAATTAAAGAATCAACGAAATTTTCAATAATTCCCTCTGTACCGTTTAAATATTGGTGAGTTGTGCTTGAAAGATAAAAGGCAAAAGTCCAATTAACATCAAAGTGAAATTGTTTGTCTCTTCACAAACATTGTGAATAAAGAATAAAAACATGTTATGAGTGACAGTAGATAATTAAAAATAAAGTATATTTTATTATTTCCGAATCCAGTTAGGAAAATGTATTATGTCATTAGGAATAATTTGTACTGTGTAATGTGTTTAATACAATTTATAATGTCATCAGACTGGGGAAAACTATAACTTACTAATATCGCGAAATAACTAAGTCATGATTTTATGGCACGTAGGTGTAGTGATTCAGATAGTACTCTTCCCAACGGTTTGGTTATCTTAATATGCAAACATTTGTGTTCATAAGCATGTATAACTGTTTATACCTCAGATTTTTACGCGGCAGTACATGAAATCAATTCATTACATTGAAATTTTTAATATTATTTAATATATTAAGTATTATGCAATATTAACTTGGGGAATATTTAGAGAAAATTCAATTTGCTTTTGTTAAACATATATAGTAGGGTTGGAGAGACGTCCTTATTGAGTGTCCGTCATTGAACAAAAAACAAAGGGTAGACAGTAATGACCTCCCGCGTGTTTATGTTGTACGGAAGAACAAAGGAGTCCTGGCGGTACAGTGCAGCACTGGGTGTTAAACATACATTTTAGACTATGAACCAAACATGATATTTTTACTTTCTACTTTTCCATGTGTCTTTAAGCAACAATTGCCTTACTAGCGGCAACAAAACTTTATTTTGAAAATCAATCAAGAAAGTACTTTATATGGTTATAGTTCAAAATTCAATTTTCGAAGATTAAATATCAGTATACGAAATACGATAATAATATACATACAATTCATGTGTAAAAAGGTCATCGACGAATCGACGGGCGAATCGACACATTTCAATGCGAATTGATTTGCTATCTCTACTATGTTTGGTTTAAATAATATAATAATAACGTTATATAATTCACACAACACCATCTAGTCCCATGCTAAGCTGAGGTTGCGTTATACTAGACAACTGATATATAAAGTAAAGGTAAAACGGTAAAGCATAGTTTTGTCCTGCGATACAACCTAACCTTAGTGCAGACCGTTGTAAATAAATACAATTGATCACTTGTTCTTGTTTCATTATTATAGATCAAGTTAAGTTTCTATGTTTGTAAAGTTGTATCTCATGTGAAATGTTTTTCTTGAAATAAATATTATAATCATTAGAAATACTTAGATACACTCATTTGAATATTCAGACACAGTATCCATAGATTGACCGATATAAACAATTATACTCATGAATACAAATGTTTGTATAGTGCGGAATTGAACCCTCGATCATCGGAAGTACAGCTGCATGCTAAACCGTTAGATCACCGCGATCCTCAATTTATGGCCGATTATGAATGGTTTAGGATCGGTAGCGATTATATAAATGTCGCAAAAACTGTAAAAATATAACGCAGATATAGTTACGCGGGTTAGAAAGTGAAATATTAAAAAAATGCTATACCTTTTTTTAATTCTACGATGGTGGCAAAGAAGCAAATGGGCCATCTGATGGTAAAGGTCACCGTCGCCTGAAATAATAGGGGTGACACGTGCGCGATGACAACCCTCAGGAAACCTTAATATACCCTTCTTTAAAATCCCATACTAGCCAAACTATAGCAGTTTCGCTAGTATGGGTTTTTTAACCAGCGAAGTCATTTTGGCAACTGTTCTACATTTATTTACAAATAGAAATAGAAATAGAAATAATCTTTATTCAAATAAACTCAACCCAAACACTTTTGAATAGTCATATTTTTATTCCGCTACTCATTCGGAATGCAGATCCATCACAGAAGAATGAGCAAGAAACTTGTGTGTTGCTCTTTTGAATAGATGTTTTTATTATTTAATATCTATATATTTTACCATTTATATGCCACTAGCTACTCGCCCCGGCTTCGCCCGGGTGTACATGTATTATATAAATATATAAACGTTCCTCTTGAATCACTATCTATTAAAAAAACTTGCTTCAAAATTCGTTGCGTAGTTTTAAAGATTTAAGCATACATAGGGACGGACAGATAGCGACAGATACTTTGTTTTATACTATGTAATAATAATATAATATAATAATAATTTATATTTATTACCACTGCTACCCAAACGTACGATTTCAGCACGGGGGAGAAATCCACTCTCTCCACGTACTTCACTACGCTGTGATAACTTCTAAACTTTTGTACCCAAGTTCTTAGAATTATAGGCATTACGATTTGCTCATGCGTTCGAAAATACGAGGGCTTATTACCAACTCTTAAGTTACTATAAAAATATTAAAATGTTCTTACATTTACATTCTTTGTATTCTCTACGTAGAAGTTTTGGTCACAATTAGAATTTTAGATGTACTGCAAACGACATACCAGCTGACGGCCCATCTAATTGTAAGTGGTATCCGCCTACCAAACAGCATCATCATATCATGTGACACCTCATCTGCTTGTCCTTTATCCCATTTATTTGTGGTCGGCGTAATATGTTTCCTCTTCCATTCCCTGTTCGCAGTCATCTCGTTATTTACTCCCTTTCTTATCATATCATCTTTCACACAGTCCATCCATCTCTTTTTCGATCTTCTTCTGTTCTTATAACATATCATGTGACACCTGTGATATGCATTCTTTTCGATGAGAAGGCCTGACTGAAAATCAGCACTGTGCAGCGTAAATTTTGGTTGTCAAATATGAAATAGAGTTACGTTTTGTGAGTTATCAATAATTTTTAACTCACCAATGTTAATATTGTCTAGGGAGAAAAGTTTCTTCATTTTTTCTTTTTACGGACCCTAAATTAGACTTGTAAACTAAATTACCCTCAGATGGCAGTATCAATTGTATTCTACAAATGATTGTTTTATAAAGTTTTCAACTTAAAGATTTTCGTTACTTTTTATTGTTCCTTCCTCCATTTTGGAGGGAACCTGCATGATTAGTCGTTTTTCTGGAAGAGTGGTCTTTAATATTGAAATTGAATTAATTTATTATGACGATGTTTTCACATTACATTTTTCGAATGTTTTGTGCCGTATTAAAATTTTCTAGTTAAATATATGTGGTTTACTTGATATTTTAAAATGAATTAAAAATATTTCTTCTTGAAAATGTCACACACAACTTCGTCTCTCCGTTCATATAATCCTGATGATTCATATTGAAACAGTTTTCATTGTTATGCTGTATGTTGATCTATTTCTTTATACCAAATAAGACATTTCATTCAGACATGATTCAACATTTCCTTATGTCAAATAAGACTGTTGCTGTATATCCTACTAGCTGTGCCCGTGGTTTCACCCGCCTTAAATTGCAATAAAAAATATAGCCTATATGTTATATATATACATGTTATATTATAAAGTTATATTAGTTTTTGTGAAAGACCTACTTTATCATCAAAATCCGTTCAGTGATAGAAGAAGATGCGCGGGTCAGGTAGTATCCCATAATTTTACTGCCTTATAACACACCTTATAAAGCAAGCTGTTTTGCGACTGAAATAGACAAATGTATTTCAGACGACTTTGTACAAAGTTACATCGTTAACTATTAAAGCAATACGAAATAAACCTAAGTCAGTTGATTTTCTATTCATTAATGAAACATGACCGCTTGTTTCGACTTATGAAGTGAATGCTATTACAACATCTTAATTCTCTTTGAAGCGGTACACTCATTGTTTTCCCAGTTTAAGTCTCTGCAGTATAATTTGCATTGTTTGAATATAATGGTGTAATAACCATCAACCTGTGACTCTGAATCACGATGGAGTTCTTAATGTGTAATACTGAGAACATTATATATAATCTAAATATATATAACTCAAAGGTGACTGACACTATGTCAGATCTATCAACGCACAGCCTAAACCACTGGACGGATCAGGCTGAAATTTGCCATGAAGGTAGATGATATGATGTAGGCGTCCGCTAAGAAAGGATTTCGATTTATTCTACCCCCAAGGGGATAAAATAGGGGATGAAAATTTATATGAAACTTCGGTCGGGCTGAGACTTTGCTTGCATAAAGCTACTATGACATAGTCATCCCCTAAGATTGTATTTTCTTAAATTTCACCCCTAAAGGGAGAAATTAACGCGAGCGAAGCCGCGAGCAAAAGTTAGTACAGTATAATTTTATTGACTCGTCTTGACACAGGAGAAAATACAAGTTACAATTTACACACTTTACAAAACTGAGTCAATTTGGAACTTAGTATTATGCTGGAAACGTTTCCAGTGCTGATTATCAGTTGGGTCCACAGTACGGACGGATATAAATTACAATTTAAAAAATATGAATATAAATCAGATGTTATACAAATATGTAATGATAGTCATTACATAGGTGTTAAACAAAGTCGCTGTCGCTGTCTGTCCGTCCCTATGTATGCTTAAATCTTTAAAATTACGCAATGAATTATGAAGCGGTCTTTTTAAATAGATAGAGTGATTCAAGAGGATGGTTTATATATATAATACATGTACACCCGTACGAAGCCGGGACGAGCTAGTATTAGATAAGAAAAAAGTATGTATAAAAAAATTTTCAAAATTATTTCGTAATAAAAATAGCCTTTAAAAACACGAACGAAAAGAAAAAA